TATACCCCTACCCGGTAGTGACCTCCTATATATCATTGTCTCTGTGTATACACCTTCCCGGTAGTGACCTCCTATATATCCTCGTCTCTGTGTATACACCTACCCGTTTGTGACCTCCTATATATCCTGGTCTACACACGTACCCAGCAGTGACCTCCAATATATCCTGGTCTCTGTGTATCCACACGTACCCAGCAGTGACCTCCAATATATCCTGGTCTCTGTGTATAAACCTACCCGGTTGTGACCTCCTATATATCCTGGTCGCTGTGTATACATACGTACCCAGCAGTAACTTCCTATATATCCTGGTCTGTACGTATACACACGAACCCAGCAGGGACCTCCTATATATCCTGGTGTCTGTCTATACACACGTACCCAGCAGTGAACTCCTATATAATACACACGTACCCAGCAGTGATATCCTATATATCCTGGACTCTGTGTATACACACGTACCCAGCTGTGACCTCCTATATATCCTGGCCTATATATCCTGGTATCTGTGTATACACACGTACCCAGCATTGACCTCCTATATATCCTGGTGTCTCTGTATACACACGTACCCAGCAGTGAGCTCCTATATATCCTGGTCTCTGTCTATACACCTACCAGGTAGTGACCTCCTATATATCATGGTCTCTGTGTATACAGCTACCCGGTAGTGACCTCCTATATATCCTGGTGTCTGTGTATACACACGTACCCAGCAGTGACCACCTATATATCCTGGTCTCTGTGTATACACACGTACCCAGCTGTGACCTCCTATATATCCTATATATCCTGGTATCTGTGTATACACACGTACCCAGCAGTGATATCCTATATATCCTGGACTCTGTGTATACACACGTACCCAGCAGTGATATCCTATATATCCTGGACTCTGTGTATACACACGTACCCAGCAGTGATCTCCTATATATCCTGGTCTCTGTGTATACACATGTACCCAGCAGTGATCTCCTATATATCCTGGTCTCTGTGTATACACACGTACCCAGCAGTGATCTCCTATATATCCTGGTCTCTGTGTAAACACCTACCCGGTAGTTACCTCCTATATATCCGAATATGCGAATATTTTGTGAAGATTCTTTTTGTTTCTGTTAATATTTTTACTAGGAGATATCTTCAAAAAGAGTCGGCATTAAACCAATAGGTCAACGTGTACATTTAGTTTTCATCATCCAAAATTTCATCAGCTTTCGATTTCCATTTGTTGAGAATATGAACGAAATAATCAACATTTTTGAAAGTCTGGTTATAGTCTTTACATTGTTTATTTATGCATCACCACTCATAAAAGAAACAATGGAAAATGCATTCATGTCGAAATCAACAACCATTTTCCAGACAACAAACCCAAGTTCAACGCCCTTTTTCAGCAACGTATTACTTTTTCACAACGCGTGCCGATTTCTAACTAGTTACAGACAGAAACTGTTTAATTTTATTTGGCATCATTACGTGTCAAACCTCGGTGACAGTTACAAAATTTAAAATTCAATCCGGTGTTTTGGGATGGAACAGGAATTGAGACTACATATTTGATATAACGACAATCTCAGTTACATCAAGGTATTACAATGTTGTTGTTTTTTCAATTTTATTTTTGCAACTTACATCACTAGACATTTTCTTAGGCTAACCGTCAAATATGTAATATGCACTTTTTTCTATAGCAATAACCAAACAGTTTTCCCCAGCTTATCTCAATCGCTCTTTTTGTGCCCTGACGGAAGCACGCAGAGGGTTTAATTCTTAATATGGGAGGAAGCTGGAGTATCCGGAGAAAACCCGCGTGGTCGGGCAAGTGACCGGAATTGAATCCGACCATCTTGGTGAAGACGAGCGCACTTTAGCTTTGACTGAAAAAAAAATTGCGTCATTAATGCAAAAATTGTATTGTGAATACATTTTTATCAACCATTAATGATACAAAAAAATCTACATACGGGAGACCGGGGCAAGTTCGGCCACCCCTGATATTTTTGTTTTTGAGCTAATTAATATTTACAACTTTGATGAGGGGTCTTAGCAGTTTAGTTGGCTGGGCATTCTACGAAAAAATGGTGAGGAAAACTCTTATGTAAAATGATTAAACAGGAGAAAATTACTTTTGAGAGGGTAGAAAAAAAATCATGTTCTCGCTTCTAGTTATGCGAACTTTTTGAAACGGAATTGCTACTTTTTTTGGTCAAACGTGTTACACACTAACAGCTTCAAATGATATACATAAAAGCCAAGCCAACCACTCACTACTATATTGCTGTACGATACGTATTTATTGAAATATCAATTTGAGCCCGAACAAGTTCGGCCAATGATACATATATGTACCGTGGCAAGTTCGGCCCATGTGACACATAAAAAGTCGTAAAATTAATGGTAAAATCTGACGTTGCGTGCTTTATGACGTCATAATTAAGCTGATCTTAATGGGGGCCGAACTAACCCAGATGCCTGTCCGAACTTACTCCATGGCGGGGCTCGTTCGGCCATCCGATCTTCCGACAGGAAAAGTTAAAGAATGTTCAAAAACGGTCTCCCCTATTGTTATGTCGGTCTTAATCTCATTAGAGTTTGTGTTTTATTGTTATTCCTCGACTTGCCGACTTTAAAAAAGGTTTTTCTTATCTCATTCAGAAAGCAGTATTCTGAATAGGTTAATATCATAGATCAACAAAAGCTACGCTCTTTTAAGGATTTGCCTTTTCATATTATGTAGAAAGTGACAGTAAATCTGTATGCAGCTATACATAAGAGTAACTTGTGATACAGATTTGTTTGGTATATATACATGTGTACTCAACAGAGGTACAGAGTAAGGAAACAGCTATTTAAATATCAAAGCAACAATCGACGAAGACAATCATATACAATTTAACTGTATCATATTGCCATTTCGTCCGGGGGACGCGGTGGCCAAGTGGTTAAGGCGTCTGACATTCTGCTACCACTTATAGCCCTCCACCAGTGGGTCGCGGGTTCGAGGTCTACGTGGGGCAGTGGCCAGGTACTGGCCGTAGGTCGGTAGTTTTTCTCCGGGAACTCCGGCTTTCCTCCACCACCAAAACCTGGCACGTCCTTGAATTACCATAGCTGTTAAAAGGACGTAAAACACAAACAAAACTATTTTAAATGTCAATATGAACTTTGAAGTTCCGTTGATATGTTTAATTTTTGTTCCTAATGATATAACCTTGATTAACAATTGATTGTTGCACCGTACTTGACCTTTCGGCTGTTTCTGACATCAAAACCCTGTCGTAAGGTAGGCAGAAAAATGTTGATCAAGTGAAAATTAGGACTCAAAAATTGTCATTCATAAAGCTGATCTCAAATCAGTCACGCAAACAGAAAACAGAACTGGAACTGTAATTCCTAGAAAAGACCTGATTTTTTAAGTAAATTTCACTTTAATTCTACTCAAGACTTAACATTTCCATATATAAACAAAAACAAAAAGAAGAAAGTCAATGTTTGCCAAACATAAAGACATATTTTATATTCAAAATTTCGTTTCGAATCCGGTATTAACAAGAGGCCCAAGAGCCTTAGCGGTCACCTGAATTATATCAAAGGTACTGGTAGCTTTATTTTATTGTTTAGATATGATGTGGAAATCAGCATGTAAACTAAGTGAACTACAATACTTGTCATGTCATCAAAGGATAAGAATTTGAAAATATTGGTAAATATTCCCTTTGGGGCCCCGCCCTAGCCCCTTGGGATGGGGCAGGAATCCCAATTTTACAATGTTATACCCTCATTCACCAAAGATGACTCTGACTAAGTTTGAGTAATTTTCTGCTGAAAATGGATAAAATATACCCAAAAGTGTTATTTCCCTTTATAAACTATTGTAAACTTTACCCCCTCCCCAATGGAAAACGGATAGCTCGGGGGTCCTGAAATTTACAATTTAAGTAAAGCCTCTGATGATCTTTCTTTCCATGCAGAGAAAATAACTGTAGTACCACTACCTTTGAGTCTGGAGAAGAAGATTTTTGAAATATTTGTGAATTTTCCCTTTGGGACCCAGCCCTGGCCCCATGGGGTTGGGGTAGGAATCTCAATTTTACAATTTGAAACCATCTTCTTCTAAGGATAATTCTCACCAAGTAGAAATAATTTCCTACAGAAAGTTGTCAAAATATACCCAAACGTGTTATTTCCCTATATAAACTATAATAAACTTTACCCCCTTCCCAAGGGAGAACGGATAGCTAGGGGTCCTGAAATTTACAATTTAACTAAAGCCCCTGATGATCTTTCTTTCCATGCAGAGAAAATGAATGTAGTACCTCTGAGTCTGGAGAAGAAGTTTTTTGAAATATTGGTTAATTTTCTCTTTTGGGCCCCGCCCTGGCCCAAGGGGTTGGGGTTAGGAATCCCAATTTTACAATTTTGTAGTCTCATCTACCAAGAAGGATTCTGACCAAGTTTGAAAAAAATCCATCCACTGGTTCTTGAGAAGAAGTTGAAAATGTAAAAAGTTTACGGACGACGGACGACGACGGACGGAAAGCAATTAGAATAGGTCACTTGAGCAAAGCTCGGGTGACCTAAAAAAACAACAACATGTGCTACATATTCCAAAAGAAAACATTACTAAAAAATCACATTAATAAATGAGGTTCATTAGAGCGGGACGTCCGTAGCAGGTTTCCACCGTGTTTTGTTCAGGGTTTAGCGGTCATGTGAACACATGTACAGGTTCCTATATAAATAGTAGGCCCAGTATGTAGGTACATTTTACCCACAACTTAGTCATCTTGTTTAAGTTATATCGCAAGATATGCATTACATGTCTATATTGTACTATAAGAATGATTCGATGTCACTTACTAGATTATTTGTATGTAGCGGTCAAAGTTGGAAGACTAGTAAATATTACAATGAGGTGCCTTTACCAGGTCCACGTGGCCGGGTTGATTTGTTCACGTTCCCGATCGATAGTCACATGACTTGCGAGCTACCCGGCACACCGTTCTGTTACTATATATATATACCCGTGGGTACTCCGCTGACAGAGAGTGTACATGGACGACAGGTAGTTAACCTCAGGGACAGTATATATCGGACACGGTGGTTTATCAGTCCGGACACGTGTGGACAGGTGAGTAGAGAGGGAGATAAGGGCTTACCTGTCCGAAGGACAAGCTAGACCCTCTCGCTATATCACCTTACCAACTATCATCAAGTTTCAATATTACAAACACTTTCTAATTTTTAAAACACTAAGATATATACCAACAGAACGCTTGTGTACTTCTCTATCTCTTGCTTTGAATCTTAATCAACGTTTTGCGTTTTGTTGGTGCATATTATTCTTAGTGTTCATGTAAATAACGGCGGAAATACTTAGATGTCGAAGTCAGAGATCTAGACCTACTGTATTTTATCCGTCTCTGTCGATAACCAGGCGCCTTTAAACAAATTTCAACAATGAAACACAATGGGTAAATTTGTACAGTCTAGCATTTAACGAAGGGACTCATCATGAATGGTCCCGCTCTATATAAAGCTGTACGTTAAACCCTTATCTGATTACGGTACCTAAAGGTATAAGACCGACACAATGTACTAGTCTTGGTGGTGGCCAGCGGCCTACATATCTATTGAAGCATTGAAGAATGTACTGTGTTCATTCGGACGGAGAATGTGCCATATATAGCGTTTACAACTCCATAGAGGTATGGAGGTCGATTCAGTATTTTACTCATAAGTATTAGTTTATATCTATGATGTCTGGATGTAGCATTTCAAAACATGTTTCTAAATATAATTTGTAATGAGGTGTTTTACCTGTTAATACATTTTTCAGTTTCATAAATTCGATTTGAAATGACTCGAATTAAATTCTTCATTATCACTCGTCAACACCATATTTACCAAATATATATATGAAAAGTAGTGATTCTAGTTTTTTCGAATCAATTACCTTGTCAAACTCTTTTGAATATATTAAAACAGTAGCACGCTTCCTTGTAATATCCTTGATTATTATCATGATTGTCCATGTCACTGTGATGTTGAACATAAGTCTCAGTTGTTAATGTATTGTATTAGTTGGTTTTCAGAATAGACATGAGAATGCTGTATTCCTTGTCGAAATCATGTCGAAATCTTTATATTAAAGCCGATTATTTTTCACTAAAGGGTAGTCGACGGTTTAGAAACAGATAAAAGGTACAAATGGTTGGGTTTAACGGGAATAAATCTATAAACACGTATTATCGACCAAACTCTCGAAGTGCAACAAAAGAAGGTAGGAAGCTGTATTTCTGTTTTATGGAACACTTCACCGCACACAAATTGTAACCCGTACTTCAGTTTACCGAGTTATACTAATTATAATCCCATAACTGTAAACAGTTAACCGAGCTATATAGTTATATACACATACGTTTACCGAGTAATATACTAGTTATAATGCAATAGCTGTAAACAGTTAACCGAGCTATGTAGTTATAATCCCATAGCTGTAAACAGTTAACAGAGTTATGTAGTTATAAACAAATAACTGTATACAGTTAACCGAGCTATATAGTTATACACACATAACTGTATACAGTTAACCGAGTTATGTAGTTATAATCCCATAGCTGTAAACAGTTAACCGAGTTATGAAGTTATACACACATAACTGTAAACAGTTAACCGAGTTATGTAGTTATAAACACATAACTATAAACAGTTAACCGAGTTATATAGATATATATGCATACGTTTACCGAGTAGTATACTAGTTATAATCCCAAAGCTGTAAACAGTTAACCGAGTTATATAGTTATACACACATAACTGTATACAGTTAACCGAGTTATATAGTTATAAACACATAACTATAAACAGTTAACCGAGTTATACATGGTTATAAACACATAAACTCATTACTGTATACCGTTAACCGAGCTATGTAATTATAAACACATAACGGTATACAGTTAACCGAGCTATATAGTTATATACACATACGTTTACCGAGTATTATATTAGTTATAATCCAATAGCTGTATACAGTTAACCGAGTTATACGGTTATAATCCAATAACTGTAAACAGTTAACCGAGTTATGTAGTTATACACCCATAACTGTATACAGTTAACCGAGTTATGTAGTTAAACTCATTACTGTATACAGTTAACCGATCTATGTAATTATAAACACATAACGGTATACAGTTAACCGAGCTATATAGTTATACACACGTAACTGTATACAGTTAACCGAGTTATGTAGTTATAAGCTCATTACTGTATACAGTTAACCGAGCTATGTAATTATATACACATAACGGTATACAGTTAACCGAGCTATATAGTTATACACGCATAACTGTATACAGTTAACCGAGTTATGTAGTTATAAGCTCATTACTGTATACAGTTAACCGAGCTATATAGTTATACACGCATAACTGTATACAGTTAACCGAGTTATGTAGTTATAAATACATAACTATACACAGTTAACCGAGCTATATAGATATATATGCATTCGTTTACCGAGTAATATACTAGTTTTAATCCCATAGCAGTAAACAGTTAACCGAGCTATATAGTTATTCACACATAACTGTATACAGTTAACCGAGTTATGTAGTTAAACTCATTACTGTATACAGTTAACCGATCTATGTAATTATAAACACATAACGGTATACAGTTAACCGAGCTATATAGTTATATACACATACGTTTACCGAGTATTATATTAGTTATAATCCAATAGCTGTATACAGTTAACCGAGTTATACGGTTATAATCCAATAACTGTAAACAGTTAACCGAGTTATGTAGTTTTTATCACATAACTGTAAACAGTTAACCGAGCTATATAGTTATATACACATACGTTTACCGAGTAATATACTAGTTATAATCCCATAGCTGTAAACAGTCAACCGAGCTATATAGTTATACACACATAACTGTACACAGTTAACCGAGTTATGTAGTTATAAACTCATTACTGTATACAGTTAACCGAGCTATGTAATTATATACACATAACGGTATACAGTTAACCGAGCTATATAGTTATACACGCATAACTGTATACAGTTAACCGAGTTATGTAGTTAAACTCATTACTGTATACAGTTAACCGATCTATGTAATTATAAACACATAACGGTATACAGTTAACCGAGCTATATAGTTATACACACGTAACTGTATACAGTTAACCGAGTTATGTAGTTAAACTCATTACTGTATACAGTTAACCGAGCTATGTAATTATAACCCCATAACGGTATACAGTTAACCGAGCTATATAGTTATACACGCATAACTGTATACAGTTAACCGAGTTATGTAGTTATAAACTCATTACTGTATACAGTTAACCGAGCTATGTAATTATAAACACATAACGGTATACAGTTAACCGAGCTATATAGTTATATACACATACGTTTACCGAGTAATATACTAGTTATGATCCAATAGCTGTAAACAGTTAACCAAGTTATACAGTTATAATTCAATAACTGTAAACAGCTAACCGAGATATATAGATATATATGCATACGTTTACCGAGTAATATACTAGTTTTAATCCAATAGCTGTAAACAGTTAACCGAGTTATGTAGTTATTAGCACATCACTGTAAACAGTTAACCGAGCTATATAGTTATAGACACATAACTGCATACAGTTAACCGATTTATATAGTTATAGAGACATAACTGTATAGAGTTAACCGATTTATGTTAGTTATAATCACATAACTGTAAACAGTTAACCGAGTTATGTAGTTTTTATCACATAACTGTAAACAGTTAACCGAGCTATATAGTTATAAACACATAACTGTATAAGTTAACCGAGTTATGTAGTTATAATCACATAACTATAAACAATTAACCGAGTTATACATAGTTATAAACACATAACTGTAAACGGTTAACCGAGTTATACATAGTTATAAACACATAACTGTAAACGGTTAACCGAGTTATATAGTTATACACACATAACTGTATACAATTGACCGAGTTATACATAGTTATAAACACATCACTGTAAACAGTTAACCGAGTTATACATGGTTATAAACACATAACTGTAAACGGTTAACCGAGTTATATAGTTATAAATACATAACTGTATACCACAAATATCTGTTTTAACCATTTGTTTATTGACCTATTTATCAAAAATAGGAGTACAGTTACATCTTTATCAAATGGAGATTTCTGTCATAGTTTTTTCTCACTAAAGACATAAAATAAAATCTTTGTTTTACAAAAGTGTTGATGATTGGATATCTAAAGATTTACGTTGATTGGGAAAAAGAACTTATTGTACAATGTAGAGAACAAAACAACGTCCAAACCATTCTTTAATGATCGCCTTTTCTTCCCACAGAAGTCCGACATTTAGTTTTAGTTTTTATTTCCCCAACCAAATAACTATGTAAAACTCGGATTTAAGAGAAATGTACTGTGTTCATTCGGACGGAGAATGTGCCATATATAGCGTTTACAACTCCATAGAGGTATGGAGGTCGATTCAGTATTTTACTCATAAGTATTAGTTTATATCTATGATGTCTGGATGTAGCATTTCAAAACATGTTTCTAAATATAATTTGTAATGAGGTGTTTTACCTGTTAATACATTTTTCAGTTTCATAAATTCGATTTGAAATGACTCGAATTAAATTCTTCATTATCACTCGTCAACACCATATTTACCAAATATATATATGAAAAGTAGTGATTCTAGTTTTTTCGAATCAATTACCTTGTCAAACTCTTTTGAATATATTAAAACAGTAGCACGCTTCCTTGTAATATCCTTGATTATTATCATGATTGTCCATGTCACTGTGATGTTGAACATAAGTCTCAGTTGTTAATGTATTGTATTAGTTGGTTTTCAGAATAGACATGAGAATGCTGTATTCCTTGTCGAAATCATGTCGAAATCTTTATATTAAAGCCGATTATTTTTCACTAAAGGGTAGTCGACGGTTTAGAAACAGATAAAAGGTACAAATGGTTGGGTTTAACGGGAATAAATCTATAAACACGTATTATCGACCAAACTCTCGAAGTGCAACAAAAGAAGGTAGGAAGCTGTATTTCTGTTTTATGGAACAC